CGCCTTCATTATCATTAAGGCCCGCAGTTCGGGCCTGGGAGAGCAGACGTTTTTCTTGTCTTTTTTTGTTTTTTCCTTTCTGTTACCGAACATAAAAATCTTTCGTAATGGATTGCCTGGCATGTCGCAATAAGATAAATCGCAGCGAGGTTTTAGTCTGTCTTAGTTGTAAGGGGCATTACCACTATAAATGTCTCAATATGAAACAGCAAACTTACGTAATCACAAAAAACAATTGGCTGTGTCCCAGCTGTAACACTGTCACAAGACGACCAAAGGGCGACGAAACACCCACCCGACGGCAGTTCGAGCAATCACCGGTGGAAGCTAATATGTCCTGCGACGATTTCAATGTCGACCTTCTTAGTGGATCAATCAATTCGTCAGTGGTCGCCGAACCTAGCATGAATGACATTCTTAAAGAAATCAGGGCATTTAGAAGCGACTTTTCAACAGTTAATTCAAGCATTCATGCTATAACCACTGCAATACAGCAATTAAATGAGTAAATTCAGCGAGATGGAGTCTCGATTTAGTGCCATTGAGGATAGACTTGTTGAAACGGAAAGAAAGAGCTCTGTAATACCCCAGCTGAAATCTGAGTTAAACTCTGCAAAGGAAACCATCGTGGCGCTTGAAATGGAGAACCATAAACGGGATCAAACTGCACGAATGAACAACCTCGAGATTTCTGGAGTGCCCGTTGCTGCTGGTGAGAATCTCCACACCCTATTACAGGTCATCAGTAATAAGGTTGGACATACATTGGATGAGCAAGATATCGATGGGGTCGTGCGAGTCAGGCGTTTCGAGGTAGGTGAACTGACAACTACTTCAGGGTCAAACAACCCGCGCCCACCCGCCATAGTTGTGAGATTCACGCGGCGTCTGGCGAAGGACAGACTATTGGCAGCGGTGCGCTCGCGACGCGGTCTCTCCACCACAGACATTAATCTTTCGGGCCCCAAACAAAACATATATGTATCGGATCACCTGACCCCGCGGAACAAGCTTCTACTGAAACGAGCCCGACAAGTGAAAGCCAGCTTGGGATATTCCTATTTGTGGGTTAGAGACTGTAGAATACTGATGCGAAAAAACGATAAGTCTAAAGCTATAGTTATACATAACGAATCGGACTTATCGAAGTTAAGATGACTTATTATAGTTTCATATAAAACCAACGTATTTTATGCAGTCTTTTTATGCCTAGCTTTACCCACGTTAAATAATGACGGACTTAAGAATATGGCTAATTTATATTTAATTTTTATTTTGTTTATTTTTTGCATCCATTATTTTAACTTTACCAATTATGAAATTGTTTCGATATTTATACAATATATACAATTTAATAATATTATAATTATTAATTTTGCCAAGTATGAAATGATTTCTATAGTTATACAATATATACAATTTAATAATATTATAATTAATAATTCAATGTTTGATAATTGTGTTAATATGGCGACATTCATTTTAACTTTGTTAATAGTTAACTTCCATTATTTTAAATATTATAATTATACAATAACTTACAATATGTACATCTCATGCAAATTTAGACGATATAAACCTCTTAATAAAATTATGATTATTACGTACGAATCTGCAATTATGCAGTGATGGGTCCCACAACCAGAAATTTATTATGTTTCTATCAAAATGTAAGGGGCTTGCGCACGAAGTCGCACGATTTTCATCTACAAGTGGCTGCATCTGACTACGATTTAATATGTATAACGGAAAGCTGGCTGACATCTGATTTTTATGACAGGGAATATTTTGACAGTAGGTATACTGTATTTAGATGTGACCGCTCGCGGTTGGAGAGTGGCGCGGGGCGTGGTGGCGGCGTTGCTGTCGCGGTGCGTACTACCTTAAGACCGCTGCGCAGAGACTGGCCTGTTCCGCCCCGCGCCTCCTCCGACTGCGTGTGGCTATCTATACCATTAAACGCAAGCAATGGCATGCATCTGAACATTGCGTGCGTTTACATACCGCACGGCCCGAGCCATCGAGACGCGTTGGAGTCATTTTTCGCTTTGTCAAGTGAGATCTTGAATGACCGACCCGATGATATTTTTCTATTGCTAGGCGATTTTAACATTTCTTATGCGATATGGCAGGACAGTCACACTCTCAGGAAACTGCTGCAAGACGGCGGTGACATGACGGTCAATATCTTGAGAAATTTCTTAGCTTTTACCGGTCTACAGCAATATAATGGCGTCAGAAATGCTAGTAATCGTATCTTGGACCTGGTGATGAGTAATAGGGAATGCAATGTGAGTTGTTGTCACCCCTTGACACCGGAGGATTTACATCATAAATCTATTGAAGTTAGTATTGATATCAAAGATTTCACTAAATTAAGGTCTGCGCCAAGCTTTAGTTATAATTTCCCTAAAGCTGATTATCAATTAATTAATTGCGAGCTTAATAAAGTGAACTGGATAGATTTTTTTAATAATTTAAATTTGCAAGAATCTGTGTCCAAATTCTATTTACTTTTAAATAATTTAATAACAAAATACGTCCCTAATAGATTAATAAAATCTCATGGAAATTGTCCTGTATGGCACACCAAACCCCTTAGAAAACTTTTAAATGAAAAAAGAAAATTCCACAAGCTATGGAAATTGTATGGGAATCCTTTAGACTACCAAACGTTTACACTATTAAGGAAAAGAGCCAGGCATATGGAAAATGAGTGTTACAAGAGTTACATTAACTATGCAGAAAATAAAATTAAATCTTCTCCAAAATACTTTTGGTCTTATATTAAAGCTTTAAAAGGCAATAATGGAATGCCGGATACTTTGTATTATAAAGAACAGAGTAGTAGTGATGGGAAAGATATATGTAACTTTTTCAGTGAACATTTTCATTCTGTTTTTTTGAACAGTGTAGAAAAGGTGTCATCCAAATTAGTCCATCCACCAATGAATGCACTGTTAGATGTAGCCGAAATAGAGATATCATTTGAAACATTAAATAAATATTTAAAAAATGTCGATATCAATAAAGGGACTGGCCCGGATGGCATACATCCTCTATTTATACAGAAATGTGCAGATTCGTTAACAAATCCTTTGCTGTATATTTTCAAGTTATCTTTCAGTACCGGTACTGTACCAAAGGAATGGAAGCGAGCATGGATAACACCGATACCTAAGGGTTCCATTGGTCAAGACGTGGTTGACTATCGACCCATCTCTAAGTTGTGTCAGTTCGGAAAGATACAGGAGAGAGTTGTCACTGAACAAATGCTCGGTGCCGTAAAGCGAATAATCACTCCATCACAACATGGTTTCTGCAAGAAACGTGGTGTCGAGAGCAATCTGTTGAGTTTCACGGACATCTTATTGGGGGAAATGGATAGTGGTGGTCAGGTAGATGTTATTTATACAGATTTTGCTAAATGTTTTGATAAGATTTGTCATTATACTCTTTTGGCTAAACTTTGGCAGCTCGGTATCCACGGAAATCTATTTCGTTGGCTGAAATCATATATATTAAATCGTAGTCAGGCAGTGGTTCTGTCGGGCTATACCTCCTCATTCAAATATGTACCTTCGGGAGTTCCCCAGGGGTCCCATTTAGGACCCCTGCTGTTTGTTTTGTATGTGAATGATATCTCAAACATCACGATAAACTCAAGTGTTCTTCTATACGCTGATGACGCAAAAATTTTCAGAGTAATTCGTGATAGACGGGATTCCATTTCCCTGCAAAATGATTTAAATGCATTCGAAGAATATTGCAGTATGAACAGTTTATTTTTGAACCCAAATAAATGTCAAACTATCACATTCACAAGAAAGAAAAATCCGATAACTTTTTCATATAAATTATGTGGAAAGGTTTTAGATCGTGTGACAGAAATTAGAGATCTTGGTATTATAATGGACTCCAAGTTAACATTTCTACCACACATAGAAAAAGTGGTAAATCAATCATTTAAGGTTTTGGGATTCATTTTACGCGTGGGTAAACCTTTTAAGTCTTCCGCAACATACAAATTACTTTTTAATAGCTACGTGCGAAGTCGACTTGAGTTCGCAAGCCCTGTTTGGAACCCTTACCATCGTGTGCATCAGGATAAAATTGAGAAGGTGCAACGAAAGTTCATTAAAACATTAGATTATAGAACTGGTAATTTTCACATAGACTACGAGTCATCTCTTGTTTCCCATAATATAACTTCCCTTAGGCATCGCAGACATCTTATAGATATGAATTATTTATTCAAAATTTTAAATAGTGAGAGTATTTCAACCAATGTTTTGGTAAGATACTTAATACAAAGTTGAAATATTTGTAAAACATTTTTAATTCTACATCTAGACTAAGATTGACAAGATTTATTTTTTTGATTCGAAATATTGGTCAAACACACTTCTATTGTTCTATTGTTCAGTAGGCATTGGTAGAAATACTTTTAAAAGTAAATGTAAAGCAAACTTAGTCAAAGTTAATCTTCAAATGAGTGACCATAAAAAATATTATCTCGAGTTTTGGCCTGGCCACAAACATTCGTTTTTCGTATTTCGTTTCCTGGTTACGTATTCCTATTCGGAGACCGGAACATGCCGTTTTCATATAAAGTGTACAGTCATTAGCCATACGCAAACATACCTTTTTAGTTTGAAAAAAAAACCTGATTTCATGGCGTATATTCGTCGTGCATTCGTTTCGTTCCGAACGGAAAAAACCATAGAATGGTCTTTCGAACGCAGCGGTCGTATTCACGCGAGGTTCAGGAAACAGTAAAAATGAATAAAGCCAGGTTTGGAACATATATTAATACGTTGGTCCTGGAGGCATAGTATATGCATCATTTACCACCACTGGACTCATTTGATGGGTTTTAACTAATTCTTCTTGTGTTTTCCTAAAACATTGGGAAAGGAAATTGAATGCATTCATAGACTGATGATGATTACATGCCATACAATCGGTCAATAAAACCGCGCAGAATAACGAACGAAAACGAACCTATGACCTACTATTACCTAGTAGTGATATCAATGAGTTTTATGAGATTTTATTTCTAATGATAAATTATAATATTTATAATAATGGTAAAATTATTATTTAGTTAAAATTATGTCAACCGATCTAAACAACTGAAAAATCAGATATACACGGGTAAGTCAAAATTATCATTATTCAAATTGTAGCCTTTAAACAAATTTTTCTAAGTATTTTTTTCATATTTACCTACTTTTAGCTGCAAGGAGAGGAATTGCCACATGAAACATTAGGATATTAAATAAATAATAGGAACATTTATAAAAAGTATATATTTTTAGTACAATCAACATATTATACATTAAAAATAATGTTTTCTAGGGTTTAAAAAGGGGTTTCCATTTCTCACTATTCAACTCTCTAGTGGCGGTCGTTTTCCACCTAACAACAACGCACCACTGTCAATAACATAACTGGCACCAGTGATTCCTTTTGCCTTATCACTCGCTAGGAAAAGTGCAAGATCAGCAATTTCATCAGTTTCGCAGAGTCTGTGCATCGGTGAACTATTCATCATAGATTTCCATATTAAATTTTCAAAATCTTCATTTTGGACAATTTTTTCAAGAATATCAGTTCTTACATACCCAGGATTTATAGTATTAACTCGCACTCCTTTAGGTGCCAATTCGAATGCTATATATTTTGTACAGTGATCTAGGGCAGCTTTCGATGCCCCATATGCCAGGTTATTATCAGATATTACACACTTAGAAGCTATACTTGACACATTTATGACATTTCCTTTGGACTCGATCAAATGTGGAGACGCAAGATGGATTAAATGTACTGGCGCTCGTAGGTTTGTGCCCATAACTTGGTCATAGACATCCATCGTATTTTCTTGGACAATCGTTGCTATGTTCCCGATACCTGCATTGTTGACTAATACATCTAGTTTGCTAAAGTGCCCAATTGTTTCACTGACAATCCTTTTGGCATCGTCGTCTTTTGCCACATCAGCATTAATTACTAAAGGTGTACTGCCTACCGCCTGCAATCGATTTGCTACATTGCTCAATTTTTTTTCATTTCTTCCAACTATTGCAACTTTTGCCCCCTCTGATGCAAATTTGATTGCAATCGCTGCACCAATCCCAGAACTGGCACCAGTAACTAGAACTACTTTATCATTTAAACTCATTTTTCAACAATAATCACTTACAAACAGACTTCATTTATTTGAACAGTATAATTTATATCATTTGAATTTATCTTATCTACCTATTTACAGAGAAAATAATCAGGTCTAAAGATAACCATCGGTAAAAACCATTAACACTGCATTTTGAATCAATATGTATACAATACATACAACCACTACAGTACCAGTACCACTACATATTATGGTAGTTTAGCTTTCACCTTTATTAAAAAAGTAATCTTATTTTAAGTCCTTATAATAACTTCCTTCGAAGTTATATTTTATGGTTTGGACGGATGTGAAGTATACCTCGTAAACTACATAAATAGCACTCGAATAAAGTTAAATTTTTGCGGCTTCAGAAACATCGATATTCATGAAATTTATGTCATAAAATGCTTCATTAAATAGACATTATATTGAAATAACTTCGTTATTACTTATCTATATGCCCAATATTAATTCTTGTACAGAATAGGTATACATTTATGATGAAATGTGATTATTATTGTAATTAATCTGATAAACAGGAACAATCTGCAATCCACTGTAAGTGTGTGAACTCGGAGGACGAGGGCAGATGTTTTGTCAATATACCTAAAGTATGTTTACTATATAATTAAAATAAATTACAACTGTTTAAATATGAAATTTAAAAAAAAAACACATCTTTAATGTTCTCTTAATATTACTATACAAAATTTTAGTAATTTTCATATCGCAATATTAGCACTTTCAGAATTTATTATAGCTTATATAATTGATATATAGGTATAAGAAAAATATTGATGTATCTGAATATACAGACGGGAGAATTCAGTTTATGAGAGTAAAAATAAAAGTACTATTTTGATTGTATTTATTAATTCTCGGCTGTTATCGACACCAAAGCCTAGTTAGTATAATTAATAAAAGAAAAAATAAATTAGTCAAGATAATATTCTTTCATTTGACGTATACATAATAGAAAGTGGAAGATAGATAGCTTAACATACATACAATAATAATATCAAAAATCACAAAAGAATGTGCTGGCAAAGCTGTCGTCCATACCGTTTATAAAACATACTTCTTATAAATTCATAAGTTAATAATTATTGCAATTGCTATTTATTATCAATATTATAATTCAATGAGTAAAAAATAAAACTTCTTATAATAAAAATAAGTCAAGAATAACAAATAATCAGTATAATATGGAAGTAATCATACCTAAGTATACAAACATACTCATGTAACCGATTCGACGATGTTGACTTTTCCAAAAATAACCTACATGTTAAAAAAAAAATAACCTACATAATGAAAGATAAGTAATTACAAACAAACTTATTGAATTTTGTATTGAGGAAAATAATCTGTCTAAATGCTGAAGAATAAATTAGTTATTTAACTATGTTTGTAAAACTGTGTTGTTTTCCTTTAACAGCACCATTTTGGTGCTTGCTCCAGTTAAAGCTTAGAAGTCCGCTGGACCGTGTTTTATTTAATTAATGGCATGGTTAGAGTCCTGTAGGTACCTGTCTGGAACATTGCTCAAGAGAGCGTGTGCTCAAGCCATACGGGCTGCAATTTTAGCTATTAATGATCGCCTCGGGATATTACAATACAACTGCGGCTAGTCGAACTCTAAGGCCTCTGTTGTGCCACTCTGATTACTAATTAAGATACTATTGTGCGGGTATATCTTCAATGTTTGCCATTAAAGGATAACCTATTCGTTTTATGCCTATGATATAATTCATTTATTCATAATAGTACAGAAACTTAGATTGTAACAGCTATAATCATAATGTGTGTTTCATAAAATAAAAGATATAGAAGCAATACTGTTCAAACTTTGAGTGGAATAATAAAATTTTGCAGTTTATAGGAGAACTTTGATTTCACAATAAACAAGTATCATCAAATCAAATTGGATCAGACAGAACTGGGAGAATGACTGGGAAATGATAGAAATTACGCATCATACTTTATTCTATAGGAAATAGATAATTAATATTTGAACTACATAGATAAATATAAATCTTGCAATAACGATGTGATTGTTCCAATTATTGGAATTGGATTGTTCGTAAGTTTTGTCATTGACACAGCCCCTGAAAGTGACATCATGGTAATAATTGTTTGAGTTTTATTCTTGGAATTGTAACGATATCTGCTGTTTGTTACTTTTTGCATAAAAACATAGTTACGCATAGTTTAGAAAGTCTATTAAATGCTTATCCAGTTTTCGTATTGTGGCATACAGAGCAGAGAGAATATTAACTGAAACGAAATAACGGTTATCTTATAGATTGCATAAATTTTAATGGTTTGTGATTTTCTTTATCTTTAAGTCTTTGGGATTTTTACAAGACACGTTTGACTCATTTGTGGAGGCATCGCTCCATCAAACTGCACAAGAGCCACTGAGTGACATTCCAACAAGGATTACTCAAGATTTAGTTTGCGATTAATTAATCAAAAATAGTTTCTTGTGCGTAATTTCTCATTTTCTGTTCCTATCTATGTCATTGCCGGAAACAATGGGATAGATGACAGTCTTTTGCCCTTTTTCCCCAGCCTTAACGCATACAGTATGTATGTAGGTATGGCAGAGTGACGTAACTAGATTCGTTCATTGATTGTTACAAATTGATTCGAACTTGACTGTGACTACTCACAATATACATACAATGAGAAATTGTAGATGCAGCAGCTCTAAATGAACGTTATTCCGTTGAATCACACATCTAACATGCTGTTGACATGTATGCAATTAGTCATATCATTTATGTAGCTTATAAATAAATCAATTTGTTTTGGATTTCCTTGTTCTCCATTATTAAGCAAATATATGAAAGATAGATAGTTGTTTTAATGTTACGGACGGCGGACATGAAGACCCTTCCCCGCAACCTCACCCCCGCAACGAGTGGAGGGGGCACACCACGGGCAGCAGCGACGGGAGCACCCCCCCGCGACCTCCCCGCCGCATAGTGGAAGGGGCACCGACATAACATGAATCTATTAGGTCAATTAACGCGTTAGGATAGTAGCTAAGTGCGAACGAACAAATCCCACTTAAGTAAACCCGATTTGTATGAAAGCATGCCTACGAACGTTTTCGTACTTTGTACTGCAAATAAGAAGAAAGAATAAACGCCTTCAAATCTCCAAACTGTTGTTTCCATCCCCAACAGTTTTCGCTGGTCCTTCAAGAGCCGGATAAGGAGTTCGCTGATTCTTCAGAAGCCGGATAGGAAGATCGCCGAGCTACAGTTTGCTCGTCCGAAGCCGGAAAGAAGAAAGCGTGTTCTACGAGCGTCGAAGCACTGCAAGATCGGTACAGTGTACGTCTGGACGAGAGCACGTCAGGTACAGTGTACGTCGGTACAGAGTACGTCGGTACAGAGTACGTCGGTACAGAGTACGTCGGTACAGAGTACGTCAGGTACAGAGTACGTCAGGTACAGAGTACGTCAGGTACAGAGCACGTCAGGTACAGAGCACGTCAGGTACAGAGTACGTCAGGTACAGAGTACGTCGGGACAGAGCTACGTCTCAAGATACAGCAAGATGCCGCGAACAAGAAGCACCACTAAGGACGACCGCGCCACCGACGCGTTACTGGAGCAAGCACGCCGTGGATTATATGAGCTGCCACCCGCTTCACCCTCTGTGGTCGATGGAACAACGACCGCTGAACGCGAGAGGGGTCCTATTCCCGTCGGAACCAGGGAAGAAAAGGACTTTGAACAAGGGGCCACGGCACCAATCACAGAGAAGCAGCGTACTCCTACGCGTCCGGCATCGGTTCGATCTTCGGCTAGCGCTGCGGCACGAATTTTGAAAGCCGAATACGAAGCCGAAAAACGGCTGACGGAAATGAAGATCCGTATGGAGACGGAACTTATGAAGAAGAAGCTGGCATGGGAAAAAGCGGTTATACAAGAGTCGGACAACGAGAGTATCGCCGACGATACGAACGTCGAGGAACGCATCGACACATGGCTAAACCAAAGCTCTTCCATCGCGCAACACACGGAGCAAGATTCAGCGCCACAACTGGAACGAGAAGCAACGAGAACAACGCCACACCGCGTGTCACGACGCGCTCCCTACATCAATGCAGGGGGGGAGCCCGAAGCGCACGCTGCAGAACCACAGCCACAACGACGACGATCGCCGTCAAGACAGCAACGGGGCATGGAAAAGCTGGCAGACGTGCTAGAGAAAATGATGCACGTCAGATCGCCGCCGAGACAAGCAACCGAACTACCCCTATTCAGCGGATCACCGATGGAGTGGCTACCGTTCAAGGCCGCTTTGAACGAATCCACGCAGCTGTACAAATTTACGCCGATGGAAAACCTGGCGCGACTTCGAAACTGCCTGAGGGGGGAAGCTAGAGAAACAGTATCGGCGCTGCTAGCAACCACTACGGACCCGGCTGAGATCGTACAAGTTTTAGAGCAGTGTTATGGACGACCAGAAAGCATCATCTGCCACGTGCTCGAGCAGATAAGAAGATTACCGAAGCTCGGAACCACCGCCGCCGAATGGAACGCGTTAGCGGTTAAAGTTCAAAACATCGTCTGCGTTATGAAGCAAATTGACAAGAAAGGATACCTCTCAAACCCAATGCTGGTGCAAGAAATAGTAGCGAAGCTCAACCCATGCGTCACTTCAAAATGGTGGGACTACGCAGAGGACCACGGATCGGATCAAGAACCAGAGATCGTAACGTTATCGAAGTTTCTCACGCGCGAAGCAAATAGAGCATTCCGACATGCACACATGTCAACGCCCAGCACGATTACGAAAAAAGAAGATAAGAAACCTTTCAACACGGGAGCAACGCGACGAGCGGCAACGCACAACATCACACAAGCAACCGAGCGTCGCTACTGCTGCTGTTGCCGGGGCGATCATGAGCTACCCAAGTGCCCGCAGTTCATCAAGATGAACACGGACGACCGATGGGCGCTTGTCAAAAAGGAGAAAATATGCTTCAA